CCCCTACCCCCCACCTGCTCCTCCAGGGCGTCCAGCTCCTTCTGGTGCTTCTCCAGCTCCTTAAGCCGCCGCCCCGCCTTGGCCGCGTCCTCCAGCGCGTGCCCCTTGAGTGCCTTGGGCGGCCGGGGCGGCGGCGGCCCCATTTCGCCCGGCCGCCCGTTGGCTGCCTGGCCATTCTGCTGCTGCTGCTGCTGCGCTGGCGCTGCCGGCTCCTCCTCCTCGTCGTCGCTGCTGCCGGAGGGGCCCTCGCCGGGGGGAGGGCTGGGTGTGTTGCGCCACAGTGTCCAGCTGCTGTCCTCCCACATCCGCAACCGTTTAAGCCGCCGCCTGCGGGGTCGAAAGGTGATGGATGGCGTCGGAGCATGCACGCGTGCCAACAACCTCACCACGAAGTCCTGCCGACCTGACGCCGCGCGCTGCATGGCGCACTGCTGCTCGCCAGACAGCTCAATCTGGGCGCCTTTCAAGCCAGCGGCCTGCAGCGTCACGCCGCCCGCTTTCATCCAGGCATGCGGCCCAGCAGGCGTCAGCGCGCGCCGTCGGATCCCGTCCCCCGCCCCGCTCCCGCTCCCGCTCACAGCTCCTGGAAGCTGTCCGCCCCAAGAAACTCCTCGTCCCGAGGCATCTGATCCAGGCTCGGGCCGTTCATGTTGAGGCCCTCATACCTGCGACGCAGAGGCGGGCGCGTCCGGAGCGATGGAGAGTGTCGCCGCTCGGCGCCATGCAAGCAGGAGCAGCGGCATGCAAGCACGAGCAGTAGCGGCTGCGCCGGCGGATAGGCCGCGGAATCGGCATCCTTCCCAATCACCCCTGCTTTGCGTCCCACGCCCCAGGCGGCCTGCTCACTGTATGTGCGTGCGCCACGATGCCGGCTGCTTCGGCTGGCCCCAGCCGCCCCCTCCGCCCCCGCCGTGCGCGCCGGCGCGGTCGTCCGGCGGGCGCTCGAAGCGGCGGTACTCTGGTGACTGGCGCCGCCGCGCCGGGTCCCGGTCCGGGTGCATCCGTGGGTCACGGCCACCGTCATGCTGCTGCGGAGGTGGCGGCGGGAACCGCCCACCGTCGCTAGGCGGGGGCGGCAGCCGTCCCCCGTCACGTGGCGGCGGCGAACGGGACCGGCGGTGCCCGCGGCGCAGCGGCGACGGGGAGCGCTCGCGTCGCCGCTCTGGCGACCGCCGCCGCTCTGGCGACCGCCTGCCGTGCGGCGAGCGGTCCCTATCATCCCTCCACCGTTCTCTCTCGCCGCTGCGGTCCCTGCCCCGACTCCTGCTGCGCGAGCGGTGAGATCGCCCGTTCTGCCTGCCCCTCTCGTTCCTATCATCCTCCCTATGACCATTATATTTTCCTTTAGGTGACAAAGATCTTCTCCGAGGCGACCTCGAACGCGAACGGGACGCCATGGGTGCCCCCCGCTGCCGGACGCGTCCTGGCTGCGATCTCCGCTGCAAATCGCGGGTACCGTATCTGTATGTGATCGATACCAGTTACTGGAGGCAAGCTTGATGCAAGAGTCAACGTCGGAGCAGACCGGAGTACGGTAGAAGCCAAGATGAAGCCACCGATCGAGCAGCTTTTGCCCGCAGCAACAAACATCGATCCGTAGTACTGATCAGCTTCATCTCTTTCAGCACTGTCGCGGTGTTTTGCACCTCTTGCGCTCCCTGCCGTGTTCGAGTACGAGACAGGTGCCTCGAACAGACGTGCAGCTACGCTCATTGGCGCTTCGTGGCATCACACCGGCGTGATTTCTCCATCTGAGCTGCGGCGCCGGCGAAGCGCGATTGCAAGGGCAGCAAGAGCAGGCGGTTGCTGCGCCGACGCAGCGACGCGCTCCGCACATTGCGTTGTGCCCTTTGGACCCTTGGAATCTGCAGCTCCCTTCTTCACAGACCTAAAAGCACTGGTCCCGCGCCATGGCGACGCCGCTGCTGCTGCCGCTCTGGCTGCTCGCCGCGGCCGGCGCCGCCGCGTCGGCGCCCGACGCGGCGGCGCTCCTGCGCGAGGGCGACGCCTCGTTCGGCCGCGGCGAGTTCAGCAGCTCCATCCGGCACTACACCGACGCGATAGACGCGGACCCGGCGCAGGCGCTGTTCTACACGAAGCGCGCGGCCGCCTACATGTCGCTGCGGCAGCACTCTGCAGCGCTGCGTGACCTCGATGCAGCGATCGAGAAGGATGGCGCATTCACGGCGGGCTACCTGCACAGGGGGAAGCTGCAGAGGTGCGCGCCTCCCCTAACTGTGTGTGTGTGTGTGTGTGTGTGTGAGAGAGAGAGAGAGAGAGAGAGAGAGACAGAGAGAGAGAGGGAGATTGCACGAGGGAGGTAGATTTTCTGAAACAGAAGTTTGATGTCGGACCGCCGTTGCCCTTGCCGGTCTGGTCTGTCGGCCAGCGCACGCGGCGCGGCCAAGCAACGCCTCGGCTGTTGGGGCCAGGCGTGCCGCAAGGCCTGGCCCGACCAGAAGCGCTGGGGTATGTAATCAGGCAGCCCCCGGTGTGCAGCCCTGCGCGCCTGCCTGCATGGGAAAACAGCACCACGACGCGCCCCCGTGGCCGCAGGCAGCTGTGCAACATCGCCGCGGCGCGGTCAGACCTGGAGCAGGTGATACGTATCAAGGCGGGCCACAAGGCGGCCGTGAAGGAGCTGGAGGCGGTCGCGGCGCTGGAGGCGGCCATGGGCATGCTGGAGCGGCTGGACAGCCAGGGGCCGGAGGCGGCGCGGCGGGCGATCGCGATGGTGCTGGAGGCGGCGCCAGACTGCACCCGGGCGCAGGTGGCGGAGGCGCAGCTCGAGTTTGCCGCGAAAAACTACGAGCAGGTGCGCACGGCCGGTTGCCTTTTGTGTTGAGAGAGGCCTTGCGCGGCGCGATCGGTTCGGCGGCGATGGGTGGCATCACGGTCACCTGGCACAGAGTCACTTGTGAAATCGCCCTCTTCTGTCGTGCTTTTCTGAGCAGGTTTGGTGGCTAACAGCGGTGGTGTGAAAGGTTGTTTCATTGTATGCACCACACTGGCCCCCTCCAGGCAGGAGTCCGACGCAGCCGCCCGCCCCACGAACTTCCGGCCCCCCTGGGACACTCCCCCCCTGCCCCCCTGACAGGTGATCGCCTCCACGGGCCGCCTGCTCAAGGCCAGCCCGGGCCACCTAGAGGCCCTGGTGCTGCGGGGGCGGTCCTACCTGTACCTCAACGACCACGACCTGGCCAAGAGGCACTTTGGGGAGGCCCTCAAATATGACCCAGACCACACGCCGGCACGCAAGGCACGCGGGGCGGGGCGCCGGGGCGTGGGCCGGGCGTCCCTGTAAGGCGGGCAGGGTGCTGCTGGGAGGGTGGGGAGGGTTGCTTGGCGCACGTGAGCTATGGGTGCGTGTGTTGTGAAAAGCATTTGCATGTGCAGGCGCATGCGCAGCAGCGTGCGGCAGAAATGGGCCTGGGCCAGGGGGAACCCACGCGTGCGGGCGGACGGCTGTAGGTCGCTGCCAATGCGGGGTTCCCCTCCGCCCCGCAGCCAATGTACCCCCTTGAAGCCGCCCCTGCCCTCGCGGAACCCCCCGCCCTCCCTCCAGGAGTTCAACAAGGTGAAGGACCTGGACCGGCGGCGGCAGCGCGCAGCCAGGTGCGCGGCGCGCGCGCGTGCCTCTAGGTTGTGCTTTGAGGGGAGGGGCCGCCGTGGCTGGCTGGCAAGAGCAGGGCGTGCATTCATGGCATGCACCACGACATACATGCGTGCACATGCCCACCCACCCACCCGCACACACTCCTGTGTATGCTCACACACACACATATACTCACACGCACACACACCACATGCACGTAACCCAACATCATCCCACCCAGGGCCGAGGAGGAGAGCAATTGGTCCGAGGCGGAGGCCCAGCTGCAGGGGGCGCTGGCGGTGGACCCCGCGCACACCAAGGCGGCGACAGAGCTGCACTACTCGCTGTGCCGCGTGCGGCGAAACATGCGCCAGTACAAGGAGGCGCGGGAGGTGCGGCCCCTGGCACGCATCGAGCGAGGGGCAGGCAGCCTACTGGGCGGCGGGTGTCGCTGCCACACAAAGAGCCGACAGGGCACTTTGGCGCGTTCGGGACAATATTCTAAGCCAGGGCAGTCGCGCAGATGCTTTCCGCTTGCTATCCTAGCGTAGAGCCCTCAGCCGCTGCCTGGCCCCTGCCCAATACCCTTGCCCCCACCAATCCCCCTAAACCAACAGTCCTGCGAGACGGTCCTGGCCCTGGAGGCCGGCCACCGTGGCGCCACCACTGACATCGTGCACATCCTGTTTGACCTGGAGGAGTTCCAGGAGGCCTCAAACAGGGCCAAGGCAGCTGCGACGGCGCACCAGGGGGACGGGGAGTACGCACAGGTGCGCGGGGCGGGGGCGCTGGCAACCCCGAGCTCGGCAGCGTTGAGCTGATCGCTTGCGGGACTCGGGAACTGCCTGGTGCCGCTCCAAGCGGCGCGCCTGGGGACTGACACGGTCAGGATCACGAGCAGTGCACATCTGCCACAATTCTGTGGGGCCTGTCTGCTGGCGCTCTCCGCTTGGGCAGAGTCCTTACTTTGCATACCTCTCCCTTCTCATGCCACCCCGCCCAGCTGTACCGTGAGGCTGAAAAGCGCCTCAAAATGAGTCAACGCAAGGACTATTACAAAATTCTGGGTGTGGACAAGTAAGTGGGCACGAGCCGATGCGACAACAGGGATGCCAACGTAATTGAGGAGGAAGATTGTCTGTGTATGTGTGGTGGTGGTCTCCTCAGCTTTCTTGATGTTTTGCCACAATGCCCTGTTCCACGGTGCCTCTGATATTGTGCTCCACGTGCTCCATCCGCTCAAACAAACACACACACACACACACACACACACACACACACACACACACACACACACAATATATTCCACTAATGGGCGTGCAGTACACACGCTCACACGCGCTGACACGAATGCATGCACTCACTCGCACCGTGCCCTTGTGCCCGCTCAACCACGCCACCCCAGGCAAGCTGACATCCGTGACATCAAGAAGGCCTACAAGAAGATGGCCATCACCTACCACCCAGACAAGGCGCCGCTCGCGGAGAAGGCCGCGTACGAGGACAAGTTCAAGGAGGTGGGCCCCGTGGTGCTGGGAGGAGTGGTTTAGAGGCGTAATTGTGACCTGTGCGCTCGACCCTGGGCTCTCAGCTGTTCATGTCGAAAGTGTCGTTCGTCGCACGCGTCGCAAACGCCCAAAATCAATTATCAAAGCCCCCTCGTTGTCCTCCCTTAAAATAAAAGCGCCACCTGCTTACTCAATTCCTTGTCCCCCTCCTCCCCCCCCCCCTCGCCCCAAAAATATCTGCAGGTGGCGGAGGCCTATGAGGTGCTCAAGGATGACGACAAGCGGGGCGCCTATGACAGGGGGGAGGACCTGGAGCAGGCCGGCTTTGGGCCAGGCGGCCCCGGGGGCTTCCACAATTTCCAGCATGCAGGCGGTGGCTTCACCTTCACGTTCCAAATGTAACCGACGGCTCCTTTGAATGGGGGACTTGCCCTGGGCGGCAGGCTGAAGGTTGTGTGCAGTACAGCTGGCTTGTGATTGATGACAACAAGAAGACTGGCTGCGGGACACAATACACCTTGCCACGGGCAAAATGATCGGCAGGTTGCTGGCGGCAGATATGCGCCGAGCCGGAGAGGCTCGTCGAGCATGCCGCTGAGTGTGACATCAGTGACCCCCGGCCGTCGTTGGCGGTCCGGCGCCTGGTCATGGGGACAGGATCTGCCTGGACAGCAGCAGTAGCAGTGTCAGGAGCATTGACGGCAGCAATCCCCATCATGGAATACCATTTAGGCCGTGGGTGCTCAGGCTGCGTGTGCCCTGAATGTCAATGCGCCTGTGAGCCTGGTGTCTCGTATTCGCCCCGCATGACTTCTTCAGTACGCATAATCCTCGAGTACAACTTTAAACATCTTGTTTTTTCACCCGTGCCATCACACTAGACTACGATACCTTATCGTAAACTCGAACGCAGATCTCTTGCTCGGGTGACACGCACATAATCGCGGTCTGTCAGTCGGATCTGTTGACAGCCTCATTCCGCCACCTTTTCAGCCTGGTGTCACCCGCAAGTGCACCGGCGTGGAGCGAGCAGCAGCAGTGGCGCATTGATTGTGCTGCGCTGCAGCAGTTGCGGCCCTACCAAACAGTAACTTCGAGAGAATGGCTCAGTAAACCAAATGCACGAGCGCAGCTTGCATGAATCACTTAGTGAAGCGTGTCTGTTCAGCCCGTCCACACTCGCCATGGAGTGATATTTGCCCCATGAATGCGGATCTTCACTGCTCGGACTGCAATGCCGCACGCTCTCATCAAGATAACCGCTCTACACAAGTGCGCGTTTGGGGCTTGACTGTGCAACCAATGTACCCTCTGCGAGCACTCACCCACAGGCAGACCCCGAGCCAGCCGACCCTTGACAACCGCCGCCAGATCAGAACGAAGGGCCAACCTGCACTTAGCAACGTGCAGTTGCTGACGGCTATACAACGCCACGAGCTGCAGGAACACAGGACCCGACCATGCATATGTGCGAAGACGTGACATCATCAATGAGTGAGTGGGGCGCACTCATGGAGTCACCTGTCACAAGATTTCTAGACATGCCGCAGGGCTGGTCAAGCGGATAACTTGCACAAGCAGTGGCCAAGTGCTGCCAACAACAACTCCCCTGATGCCCTCAACCTCTGGATCCGTTTGAAACACGGACCCAAACAACTGATTCCGAGAGGCTCACGGCCATGCCCATCCGCCCACGTCGGGCGTTTCGAAGCTTACAACCGCCATGTACGCCCACACACAGAACGGATCGTCGCGTTCTGCAGCTGGTAGAACGTTCGCAAGGCCCCCTGGTTGCCTGCGAGCAAGAGCAATCGCGTTCTGTTCTCCAGGACGGACCCTTCCTGTCCTCGCCTTGAGGCAGCTCTCCGGCAGGGTTTACTGCCATTTTATCCCTCGTGAGCGTCCCTGATGTCAGGCCGCAGTGGAACAGGTGTCATGCGCCCGGCTTGCAAGCGACGAGGGTGCCGCTTCCTCGGACTGCGGCGACCCTGTCTTGACTCTTGGTGATCATGCCCTGTCCCTCCGCGGCGCCCCAACCGTCCAGGCGCCGCCTCATCGAGCATGTCCGCGGCGGGCGCCGCGGCAATGGACCTGCTGCGTCGGCCCCTAGCACCCCCCTTGGCACGCCCCCTGGTGGAGCTGCACAGCTCCCTGCAGGTGAGGTCGGCGGTGCAACGCACGGCACCACGCCCACACATGCGTCGCTCAGGCAGGCCGCCACGCTCCACATTATGCAGTCATCCACGGAAGGCACCACGGCAGCTTGAACACCGTTGCCCGCTGCCGCGAAGGCCTCCGCATGGGTCCGATGCCAGCACCAACCGCTTGGTGACCTGCGTGTGGTTCTACACGCCTTGGAAGCAGCTTCTGGACGAAAATCCCACCGCCCTCCATCCCACATCAAACCCAGGCCTTGTTCCAGCTGGTAGAAATCCAAGGCGCCCCGGCCGCGGAGCGTGCCCTGCTGGCCGCGGCCCGCAACGCGCTGCGCTCCACCCTCGCCGCCCTCGACGCGCTCGGCCGCCGCCGGCTGTCCAGCCAGGACTTCGCCTGCCTCCAGCTGCTGGTCTTCGCGCCGTTCTTGGGCCGCCTGATGGCGTACGAGGCGCCGGACGCGCTGCGCCAGCAGTTTACGGGGCTGCAGCTGGCGGCGCTCGCGCTGCTGGAGGCGGCCTTAGACCTGCACGCCCTCAGCCGTGGCAGCGGCGCCGGTGGCGGCGGCGCAGCTGGGGGCAGCGGCGCGAACAGCCGCAGCAGCCCTGAGGCGGCGGCTCACCACCAGGACGAGGACGACAAGCACGAGCTCCTGCGGCGCGGCGCGATGGACGTGGTGCTGCGGCTGCAGCGCTACAGCCTGCCTGACGACGCCGCCTGGGCCTCCTGGCTGCAGGCGCGCGCCGCCGGCGCCGTCGGAGGCGCGCCGGCGGCCCCACTGCCGCAGCCGCCGCGCCTCCTCAGCCAAGCTGAGTCGCCCGCCGACGGCGTAGCGCGGCTGGCGGAGGTCGCGGCCGGGCGCGTGGCGCGGCAGCCTGCGGTGCATGTGGACGCGGCACTGCGCCTCCTAGGCACCCTTCAGGCCGTGGCGCCGGACGCGTTTGCAATCGCGCGCCTCTCGCCGCTGTGGGCCGCCCTGGCCACGGGGCCGCCGGCCGCGCTGCGCACAGTCAGCCACAAGGGCAAGGCGCAGTGGGTGGTGGAGTGGTCAGACCTTGCGCGCAGCATAGCGCCCAGCGAGGCCGCTGCGTCTGCTGCTGCACGGGACTGGCTCGTCGGCCGAATCCTTGAGCGCGTGCTGCTGGAGTCTGACGCAGGCCAGCGGCGCCTGCAGGTTGATCATCTTATGGAAACGCTGGGCGTAACTCTCAGCCCTGGCGCAAGCAGCGGCGCCAACGTCGCGGCGGCCGCGGGGCTGCAGGCTGCTGCATGCGTGCACCAGCTCCTGTCGCTCGCAGTGCGCCAGGAGCACGAGGGGCTTGCCAGCTGCCTGTTGGCCTGTGTCGTTGAGTTGGCTCAGGGCGACGGCCGCGGCGCCGCGCCGCAGCTACTCTGCGCAGCAAGCGCGCCGCTACTGGCGCCGCTGCCGGAGCAGCTGCTCGTGGCGTGGCGCCAGCAGCTGCCTGCCGCGTGGGCAAAGATGGATGCGGCGGCAGCTGGAGCCTGGATTGACAGCCTTGCCGGGGCGCTCGACGTCGGCAACGGCGGCGGCCTGCAGCGGCTGCCTCCTGCGCAGGCTGCCTTGGTGCTGCGGCTCTCGACAGTCTGCCTTGAGCGCCACCCACATCTGCTGCCGCGGCTGGGGCATGCGCGCAGCGTCATGGGGTGGCTAGTCGGCGTCAGGCTCGCAGCGGCGGGCGCGGAGGCAGGAGGGCCGGATGGTGGCAGCTGCACCAGCGAGGTTCATGCCGCCAGCTGCCAGCTCGCAGCGCTGTTCGCAGCGAATGCCAGCTCAGGCGCGGCGGCTCTTAGCGCCCTGCTGTCCATCGCCGGCGCCGGCATCACCAACCCTGGCGTCAGCGGCGGCGACGACGCTGCCGCCAGTCAGGTTCAGGTGCAAGCCGAGGCGCTCGCGCTGCTGCGCGCGGCATATGCAGCCGCGCCCGCGGCGCGCGGCGCGTGGCTGGATGCTGTCCAGCAGGAGGGCTCTGACGCGGTGCACGCATCAGCCTGTGACGCCCTGGGCGCCCTGGCAGCCGCGCTCTCACTGGCGCCTGGCGAAGCCGCTTGCAAGGACTCCGCCGCGGCGCCGCTCGACCTGCTGGCGCTGCTGGCGCTGCGCACTGACGCGCCCTCGCGCAGGGCGGTCGCCCTCGCCGCAACGCCCGGCGTCGGCGCGCGCCTGCCTGAGGTGCTCCTGGCGGCTGCCACTGCAGACGCGTCGCTTGCAGTGCCTGCAGTGCATCTGCTGATCCATTTGCTGCCCTTGCCCGGCGTCGCAGCTGCGGCGCCCGACGCCGCAGCGGCCGCCCGCAGCCTCGTCCAAGAGCATGCGTCGGTGTTGCTGCAGGTGCCGGTTGCCCCCAGCGGTGCGGCGCCGGACCTTTCGGGCCTGACGGCCGGAAGCTTCCACGCGTGGCTCGCCTTCCTGGCGGAAGTCCCAGAGGCGGCTGCCAAGCCGGAAGGCGGGGAGGCAGGCAGCCGCGCGCCCAGCCTGCTGCATGAGTACCTTGGCTGCTTGCTGGCTGGCGCGGGCACGCCGGGCGTCGCCGACGCGGCGCCGCTCGGGCAGCAGCTGAGCGCGGTTGCTTCGCTGCTTCCAGGTTCTGTTTCCGCCGCCAGCGGGGGCGACGGGGCGCTTCCAGTTTCGGGGGCGCAACAGCGGGTGTGCAGCCGGCAGCTGTCAGAGCAGCTCGAGGCCGGCCTGTTGGGCCGCCTGGAGGAGCTGACCGCCCTCATGGCCTGCGGCACCCAGCCACTCGTCTCCGCCGCGGCGTCCGCGTGCGCGGCGCTGCTTGGCGCGGCCGACAACGGCGCGGCGCTGTCCGCGGCCGCGGGCGAGGCGGCGAGCGAGGCGACCGCGGG